TAGGAGTTTGAGATGTATCATTAGGTCATTGATTTGGGATCTTTCAATCTTTTTAATATATGCACTCATGGCTATAAACTTTCCTCTCAGACTGCCTTAGCTGTGTCCCATAGGTTCCGGTAGGTTGTGTTTTCATTTTCATTGACTTCCAGGAACTTTTTAATTTCCTCTTTTATTGCATCGATGATCCATTCTTCATTAAGTAATGAGTTATTTAGTTTCCAGCTGTTTGCATGTTTTTTGTCTTTACTTTTGTTGTTGAGTTCTACTTTTACTGCATTGTGGTCAGATAGTATGCAGGTATTATTTCTATTTTCTTATATTTGCTGAGGCTTGCTTTGTGCCCTAGGATATGATCTATTTTGGAGAAGGTTCCATGGGCTGCTGAGAAGAATGTATATTGTGTAGAGTTGGATGAAATGTTCTGTAGACATCTACTAGGTCCACTTGATCTATTGCATATTTTAGATCTTGGATTTCTTTATTGAGTTTTTGTTTGGATGACCTATCTATTGATGATAATGGGTGTTAAAGTCTCCCACAACCACTGTGTTGGCGTTTATATATGCTTTTAGGTCTTTCAGGGTATGTTTGATGAAATTGGGTGCGTTGACATTGGGTGCGTACAGATTGATGATTATTATTTCCTTTTGGTCTATTTCCCCTTTTATTAGTATGGAATGTCCTTCTTTATCTCGTTTGATCAATGTAGGTTTGAAGTCTACTTTGTCAGAGATAAGTATTGCTACTCCTGCTTGTTTTCGGGGGCCATTGGCTTGGTAAATCTTCTTCCAGCCTTTCATCCTAAGCATATGCTTATTTCTGTCGGTGAGATGAGTCTCCTGTAAGCAACAAATTGTTGGATCTTCTTTTTTAATCCATTTTGTCAAACGGTGTCTTTTGATGGGTGAATTAAGTCCATTAACATTAAGCGTTAGTACTGATAGGTATGTGGTGATTCCTGCCATTTAGTTGTCTTAGTTGTTTGAAGGTTTGATTGTGTGTACCTAACTTGATGTTACTCTCTACTGTCTTGCTTTTTCTTATCCTGTGGTTTGGTGCTGCCTGCCTTTTCATGGTTAAGTTGGGTGTCACTTTCTGTGTGCAGGATCCCTTGCAGAATCTTTTGTATGGTGGCTTTGTGGTCACATATTGTTTTAGTTTCTGCTTATCATGGAAGACTTTTATTGCTCCATCTATTTTGAATGATAGCTTTGCTGGGTAGAGTATCCTGGGGTTGAAGTTATTTTCATTCAGTGCCCGGAAGATCTCACCCCACGCTCTTCTTGCTTTTAATGTTTCTGTTGAGAAGTCTGCTGTGATTTTGATGGGTTTACCTTTGTATGTTACTTGTTTTTTCTCTCTTACAGCCTTCAATATTCTTTCCTTAGTTTCTGAACTTGTTGTTTTAATGATGATATGTCGTGGAGTAGTTCTATTTTGATCTGGTCTGTTTGGTGTCCTGGAGGCCTCTTGCATTGTATGGGAATATCTTTCTCTAGATTTGGGAAATTTTCCGTTATTATTTTGTTGAATATATTACGCATTCCCTTCGCTTGCACCTCTTCTCCTTCTTCGATGCCCATGATTCTCAAGTTTGGTCTTTTGATGGAGTCAGTGAGTTCTTGCATTTTCTTTTCACAGGTCTTGAGTTGTTTAATTAATAGTTCTTCGGTTTTTCCTTTAATTACCATTTCATCTTCAAGTTCTGAGATTCTGTCTTCTGTTTGTTCTATTCTGCTGGATTGGCCTTCCGTTTTGTTTTGCAGTTCTGTTTCGTTCTTTTTTCTGAGGTTTTCCATATCCTGGCAGTTTTCTTCTTTATGTTGTCTATTTTTGTCCTGAGTTCATTTATCCATTTATTCATTGTGTTCTCTCTTTCACTTTGGTGTTTATACAGTGCTTCTATGGTTTCCTTTATTTCTTCTTTTGCTTTTTCAAATTCTCTATTTTTATTGTCTTGGAATTTCTTGAGTGTCTCCTGTACATTTTGGTTGACCCTATCCAGTATCATCTCTATAAAATTCTCATTGAGTACTTGTAGTATGTCTTCTTTTAAATTATTCTTGTGGGCTTCATTGGGTCCTTTGGCATAGTTTATCTTCATTTTGTTGGAGTCTGGATCTGAGTTTCTGTTTCTTCATTCCCCTCTGGTTCCTGTACTAATTTTTTGCTGTGGGGAAACTGGTTTCCCTGTTTTTTCTGTCTTCCCGTCATTGTCCTTGGTGTTGTTACTGTCCCTGTACTGTGTGTAATTAAGTATTTTCTAGCTTGTAATAATAACAATGGTAATATTGAGAATGGAAGAGTGAGCTGAGATGGAAAGCAAGAAGTTAAAGAAAAGGGGAAAACAAATATACAGACAAGAGGGAGAAAGCAGAACAAGGTATCAGACAAGAGAGTTTCAAAGGTATAAACAGGGAGTGTTAGTGTACTAATCGACAGTAAGCTGGTCCGCGTCTTCCCAAGCCGTATGGGCGCCGGCCACTGGCGGCCCCAGGGGCCTCCTCGGTTCTCCGTTTAAGGTGAAGTGGAGATTCTCTGCGCCAGCTGGAGATGTGGAGGAGTCAAAGTTATGCCTTTTCTCAGTGATTATGCCTGCAAAGTGTGTCTCCAGTGTCTCTCCAAGATTTCACTATAGGAGGGTCGCTTTCTGCTTCCTCCCTCTAGCCACCATCTTGGAATTCCTTCTGTAGATGTTCTTAAGAAATGTGAAATCTTGTTCCCGGCGAGCATGTACAGAGCTCACTGGCACTTTCAACAATGCTAGCCAAGCTTTGACATCAGCTCACCGCATTTTTGAAAACCATATTGTTGGCTGTGGTTCTAATGAAACGTGGTCTTACAGCAGCATTCATAGCCATCAAGATTTTTTTCTAAAAACCTCATTATGTCATTTTTATAGAGCCCCTGACTAGAAATGCCAAAAACCAACATGAATATAAGAACAACATAATATAGGCCTTTAATTGAGACTAATACAAAACATTTGCCTTCCATGCTGTTATATGAGACATAAACATTTATTCATTGGCAAAGCCTTGAACTAGAAACTAAAATGGGCCTCTATTTGCTCATTTGTGAAGTGGGGCTAATCCCACCCAGCTCAGAGGGTTTGTCAATCAGCTTTCTGTCACTATAACAAATACCTGAGATAAATCAGTTTAAAAGGAAGAAAGGCTTACATCAGCTCACGTTTTCAGTACATTGTCACTTGGCTCTGTTGCTTTCAACCTGTGGTGCCACAGGATATCATGACAGTAGCATGTAGATGGCAACTGGGAAGAGGTGGAGGGAGAGGGAAAAGAGAGGAGGAGGAAGAAAGAGAAGAAGAAGGAGGAAGAAGAGGAGGAGAGGAAGGGAAGGAGGGAGGAAGGCCAACATTCCACTATTTCTCTTCAAGGGAACACCCCCAATGACTCAACTTCCTCCCTACCTTCTAAAGATTGCTTCCCCTTCCAATAGTGCCACAGCTGGGGACCAAGCTTCTAATCTGAGGGCCTTGGCCATTCCAGATGTAAACTCTAGCAGGGTCGTGAGACTTGCTGAAACACTGACTAAAACCAGCCAGTCCCCGATCCAAGGACTGGCCTGGGTGGAAAGCAGATGCTCTGATACCATGACCATCCCACGGTCCACATTGGAACTATCAGGTCTGAAGCAGCAAGAGCAGCACAGGAACTGTTCCCAGCCAGGAGGGAACAGGCAAAGACACCTGGGAATGAAGGAAACAGGCATGTCTACCAGACTTGAAATGACATTGAATTTGGAAATACTGCATCTGCTTTCCTGGGCATCAGTGTCCTTGTTTTTGTGACCTGGTCACCTTTCAGGGAAAGGACAACAGGGAGAAAACACAGAAAGAAGAAAAGCTGAAGAAAGAGCCCCAAAGAGAATGGAAAGTACCAGCATATCACTCCCAGGCTTGCTCCTGCCATCAGCGCCAGCCTACTGCCATCATTTACTTATATGACAAAGTAGTCTGAAGTTCTTTTTCCTTTCATCCTCAAAAGCTAATTTTGGTGCTACCTCTCTTGGACCACTTTCCAGAACCCTGGGAAAACTTACTTTCCTGGTTTACCATAGAATTTGACACTGTTACCAAATACAAGGTTTGTTTCTCTGCTCCAAAAATCATACTTGGTAAGAGGCTCTGGGTTCATTGGCCCTGGCCACTAGCCAGGCCATCATAAACATTTAAGGACACTTTCAGCATTGGTTTGTGAGGCTGTAAAACTGTGGGCAAAGGTAGAAAAGACACTCAGTGCTGTAAGTGGTACAATAACAGATGGCTTTTTTCACACAGGTATCCTGGGAACGCCTCTACCCAGACTTATACTTGAACGGGGAGTTAGTATGGGAGGCTGTGACCTTACAGACTAAGGGGGGGTGATGCATAAATGCACTTGGGTGCTGTGATTGAATTAGGAGAGTTTCCTGATTTCCAAACCCTCCATCACATACCAGCAGGATTCTGTAAATCTCAGCTTTCCAAGGAGCTTGGATACCAAAGAAAGGATGTGTCTAATTATAAGCTATGGGAATTCTTTATGTTGCTTTGTTCTTAATAAAGAATTCGGAAGGAGAAAATAAGAAAGAAGTATAAAACAGAACAGGAGGACTGGGCAGGTGCCTGTGTATCATGTCTAAAAGAGTCAGGAAAGATCAGAAAAGAGCAGGACAAAAACCTACCAGAACCAGGAAGTGTGTGTTAGTTTCGGCCATATCTCTGTATCTGAAAGGTAATTATGAATCATTGTGTTTTCTCAAATGCAGACTTATCCTTGGCCTTGCATGTTCTCCGTTTCCATGAGATTCTATTAACACAAAGTCTGCAGCCTGAAGGCTTAGTGCGTCATTAATATGTCATCTACAAGACATGACATCCCAAGCTGAAATCTAAGAGTGAGCCTTGGGCACAAGCGTTCCAGGACAGGCCCATTTTCCAGTTGGAATCCCTGGCTGGGCTCACATTCTTATTTTCTCTCTTTCCCTTTTAGAAACAGGGAAGATTGACCAAGAAATTCACAGATACAACACCCCTGGGTTCACAGGCTGCCTCTCCAGAGTCCAGTTCAACCACATCGCCCCGCTCAAGGCTGCCTTGAGGCAGACAAACGCCTCCGCCCACGTCCACATCCAGGGCGAGCTGGTGGAGTCCAACTGCGGAGCCTCCCCACTGACGCTTTCCCCGATGTCGTCAGCCACTGACCCCTGGCACCTAGATCACCTGGATTCAGGTAAAGTCCAAAACCATCTTGGGCCATTATTTTATTTAAACCTCAGTTTCCTTATCTGTAAAATGGGTTGATAGCAGAACCTCACTGGCAGTGTCGCTGAAGATTAAGAAAGAGCACAAGGAACATGTTGGCCAATAGTTCTCAACACTGAGCTTAGCATCTATGCAGGACGCAAAGGTCACAGCTATCGTTCTTGCTTAAAGCCAGGAGTAGAGCCGTCAAAGGTAAAGAATGCAAGAATATAGACTCTGTTTATGTTACATTATGAGATGCTCAGGCTGGGTGCAGGGGTCCACATGTGTAATCCCATCTACTCAGGAGGAAGAGATAAGGAGGATCATGATTCAAAATCAGTGTGGGTGTGTGTATGAGAGAGAGAGAGAGAGAGAGAGAGAGACCCAGATCACCATTTGCAATATGACTGTGAGGTGATTTGATCAAATCACTTCCTCGCCTTTGCTTTCTCACTGTTCTGCAGCCAGAGTCCATATTCTCATACCAGAAGAAGAAATTTACCCAAAAAAGTACTGAGACTTATCCCCAACTCTGCATTGAATCCATTAAGACTGCAGGCCTCCGAGTCTTTAAGAGGTGCATTTATAAATTTACAAAACTCACTGGATGTGGTTCCATTTCTGCAAGGGACAAAACATGTGATTTGAAAGCTCGGGGCTCAAGTGAATGAAAAATTAATTGGATGAAAATCCCACATCCCTGTAACACTGAGTGGTGGAGAGCCCATTACACTGCATTTCCACTGACTGTGGGCGACTCCAGTCATTTTCACCCATAAGGGAAAGAAGTGGGGCATAAATCACTCAGTGACCTCCAAACCTAACCTTTAATGGTCTCCAAGCAACGTGGAATCCAGCTGACATTTAAGACAGGAAGAGAAGAAAGTGGGAGGCCATGGGTGGTAAAGTGTAGACGCTCAACCTTTGCTGTCTCTCACCTGCAGCTTCTCTAACCTTGTGCCTCAGTTTCCTCACTCCTAAAATGGGGAATGAGAAGACTTAATTCACACAATTCCGTCGAAGATGATGTGTTTACGATGCTTAGCCCAGTCCTAGACACATAGCAAGCTTTTAAAACACTTAACTCTTATAATATTGATAGCCATCGTGGTTATTGTATGACACACAGTGTGCTCTGAAAAGCTTCCAAATCCCCTCCCCCACTCGGACTTGTCATTTGTAACCATTCATCATACAACAGTGTGTCTTGATTGCTTTAATCGCATTCCAGCCCTGCTCGGGTATTCACTGGCTTTGGTGCAGCCCTGGCTATTGTGACTCTTGCTAGGACTGAGCCTGGAAGCTTTGTGAGGCTCAGAAAGAAGCCAAAATCTCCCTATAGGCAGAATAACTCATTTACACACTAAACAGGACACTTTGTTCCTTGTACACGGGGTCCTATAACATTGTGAGGGCCCAGTGTGCCAAGGCCAGCATAAAATCTCCCTTTGATGTACATTGTTAGGGACATGCAGCAGGCCGGCTTCCCTCATGGGCTGTGTGAACAAAGAAAGCTCTCCTCCTGCTGAAGGAAGAAAGGGAAGGTGAAAATACGATGGGAGAAAAGACCTAAGTCAAGGCCACCAAGGAAGATTTCTCCAGTAAATTCCTCCAAATGCGAGACAGAGCGAGCTCATGAATGGTCTTTGAAGTACACACATTCTCTCTGGGCTGCAGCAGGAAGACACTGGGGGAGGCTCTGAGCATATGTGGTCACTCAGTCACTGAGAAACTGGATTCAGCCATCTAGAAATGTCTGGGGCCAAGATGAACTCATATTCATTAGGACTTAATTAGCCAATTGTTTGCTTTTTAAGGTTTGCGAAACAGGAAATAGGAACCAAACATTTTCAGTTCATGTATCAAAAAAAAAAAATACATGACAGCTTCCTTCTGAGTGATTCATAAAAAAATGTATGCAGTTTAGAAAACATTTCTGTTAGTATTCAATGCCCAAATTAAAATTCAAGCCAAGTGTGGTGGGGCACACCTGTAATTGTAGCACTTAGGCTGCGGCAGGAGTTCAAACCCTAGTACCATCAAAAAAAAAAAAAGACCATGGAAAAGTAGGATGGGGTGGGGGTGGAGAGGCGTAAATAAGAATACCTGAGTTTCCAGAATAAAGGAGAGATGAGGATAGTTAGGCTAATTCTTGTCCTGTAGCCCGGAGGGGTGTTTATCTCTCCTTCATAACTATAAAACTTTCCAGGGAAGGGGATTTATGCTAGATTTTTCTCTTGGTCTTTCTTGGAGAAAACCACCTCCAAGAGGAAGACATGGAAACCTTGTTTTCTCTGCCTCTTAACAGATAAGAGAGGTGCCAGTAAGGTTTCTTTATGGGTATCTTTCTTTTTATGTATCTGTTGGACATAAATATCTCCCATTTGAAATAGTTATTCTACCAGTTCCAGGGCACTTAGGGGGTCCTCAACCTTTCTATGAGCCCACAGTCAGCATTCAGAATTCTGTGTCAAGGGTTTTGCAGGTTTCAGGTAATGTTTCACGTTTGAAAAGAGTAAGAAATTTTGGTATCAGATATTCAGAAACAAACAGTGTGTACACATAAATTCCATTTTTTGTCTTGTGAATAATGTGAGGTTGGTGTTGGTTGGGACAGAAAGAGAATAAAGGTGATCCCTCGCTTGATCTGAGGACATTAGGATCAGATTATTTCACCAAGTGCCCTGGAAAGTGTGGAGTTCACCTGACAGCCTTGGATCCCTAGGATGGTGGTTAGAGATGAGGGGTCTCAGCCCCACGCTGGGGGCACTGAGTCAGCACCTCATTTTAGCAGAATTCCCAGGTGACTTACCTGGGAAAGTTTGGAGGCACGAATCTAATGAGATCTCCTTCCCTGCGCTCTTCAGTATTACCTGGGGAGCATTTACAAGGTCTGGGCATGCAGCTTGCTCTTCTGAGTGATTAAAGCAAATCCTTGTCCAGGTGCTAGTGACTCAGCCTGTAATCCTAGCTACTCAGGAGGTGGAGATCAGGATGATCGAGGTTCAAGTCCAACCCAGGCACAAAGTATGAGAGACCGCCATCTCAATCAATGGTTGGGCCAGGTGGTATGTGTCTGTCATCCACAGCTACTCAGGGAAGCACAAATAGGAGGATCACAGTCCAGGCTAGCCCAGGCATAAAGGAAGACCCTATCTCAAAAATAACCAAAGTAGGGTGGGGGGTGTGGCTCAAGTGGTAGAGTGCTTGCTTAGCAAATGCAAGGTCCTGGGCTCAACCCCACAAGTGCCACCAAAAAAGGAAGGGAGAGAGGGAGGGAAGGAGAAAGAGAGAGAGGGAGAGAAGGAAGGAGGGAGGGGGGGAAGGAGAGAGAGAGGAGGAAGGAAGGAAGGAAGGAAGGAAGGAAGGAAGGAAGGAAGGAAGGAAGGAAGGAAGGAAGGAAGGAAGGAAGGAAGAAAAGAAAGAAAGAAGGATGGATCTGAGTTGTGAAATCACAAAGGCTGTAGCAGTAAGCGTGTTCAAGAACAGGGCTCCTCTGACCCATTCTTAAGAACACTCTCGCGCTCTCCTGGGTTCAGAGGAGGTTTCCAGCTAGATGTGAAGAGCTTTTGCAATTGGAAAAATGAAAAAAATGTGCAGTCAGGGGCCAGACTGAGCGGTTCTGATGGAGGCTGTCCACACAGCATGTGCTGTATCCCAGGTAGCGGCTTCATTTAAGGAAGATTTCAAGTTATTATTCGTCTTAAATTTCTGCAAACTTAATCCAAAGAATATTGGGGAAAGATGCTGCTTCAAAATGAAGTGTGTACATTTTTTAAAACAAAGCATGCACCTTCGTGACAAAGGCCTCTGCCAGGGCCACCCAATTCAGGCTGCTTCCAGTATAATTTGTTTTGCAGAAACTGGGTGTTACAACAGAAATTAGCAATCAAGACATCTACTTTTGAAAGTCTTGTGATCTTTCTGTTCCCATACATTTCTGGTTTATGTCTTAGATCATACCAAATGATAAAAATAGAAAACAAATTCTAAGGTATGCTCACTTCAGGTGAGAAGATGCTTTTCTCTTTAGCAGTGCTGGGATTTGAACTCAGGGCCTCAGGCTTACTAGGCAGGTACTCTACCACTTGAGTCATTCCACCAGCCCTTGCTTTTTCTCTTCCTAACAATACTGGGCTGTTCATTACCTCTCCAATGTCCTCAGGGCTCTGTCAATGTTCTCCAAAGTGAGAGACGTTTATAGTTGGTCAGGCTGTGTATTACATAATTCTGAGAGACTGTAGCCTCTCAGACTGTGGTTCCAGGAACTGTGCAACATGGTGGCCTTGACAGGAGTTGCCAAACCATTACGGAACAGAAAATAGAAATGGCATTATATAGCAGAATAAGAACGTTATTTCCTACTCCTTTCTCTTTTCAGCCCTTCTGGTTTTGTTAAAACTAAAGTCTCCGTTTGGTTCTGACCTTCCTTTCACACCTACTCACCTTGTAATTTAAACAGAGAGCAGGTCAAAGCCTTACCAGACAATAGGATTACTCAGGAGCGATGTAAGGTCCTATCATTGCATTTATTTAAATAAAAATCTGAGTCAACTTGGTGCAAATAAGTAAATAAAACACACTGTGGCTATGGCAAAGAAAAAGAAGTGAAAGTGGTCCCCCGTGATCGGAATTTGGGGGTAGAAGAATGTGTATTTTATATGGGAAACTGATGAAATTTTTCCATAGCCTGATTTAAGTTGAATTCACTTAATAACAACTGTGCTCCACTAGAAACTTAGGTTAACCTGTTTTCTTGCCTAGTTTTTCAAACCCCTTCAATAATAAAGTATAGTCTAACTCTAAACCACTCATTATATGGCCGTTAGGAATCCTTTTAGGACAATAGTTACTGGGTTAAAAAAAAAAAAAGGAGCCCCCCCACCTCGGAGTTCTGCTTTATTTCAGGGGTCTCAGGACACCAGGAAGGGCCAAGCCTCGCCTCTCACAATTGTGGGCCCTTGTCTCTGTCAAATTTGAGAATAT